GGAACGTGGATTGCCTGGAGGTGATGCTGGCTCATGGGGTGGATGCCATGACCAAAGACAGCTCCGGTAAGGCACACTCCCTTCCCTGCAGGGCAGGCTTGCACACGGCTGCTCAGGGCTGGCTGGGGCTGTGCAGAAGGGACCCAGGCCAGCTGTATGAGGGCAGTGGGAGCTTTGTGCCTCTGCTGCTTGGACTTACCCGATGAAGGATCCAGCCCTTCACTGGGGGGCTGCCAAAGCTCCTTGCACTTCAAGCTGCCCTGCCCTGCTGCTGCCGCTTCCCCTCCTCTCCCCCTGACATAGATCTCGCCGCACCCCTGTGATCTCAGCCCAGAGGCTGGGGACCACTCAGATCTCAGCGAGGGGCTGTGGAGCAGGCGAAAACTCACATCAGGGCAATGTGTGCCGACAGGCACAGCCCAAGTAATTGCAGCAACAGTGTCCCAGGACGAACCGCCATGTGCCTGCTAAGGATATGGCCTGGTTCAGGGCAGGACGTGGCCTAGAGCACCTTTAATGCACTGACTGAGCCCAGTACTCTTGCATTCCTTTGTACCGATGGCCAAAGACCTCCTGATTCCTGTGGGCAGTACAGTCTTTAGACTCAGCCTGAACATGGAACCTGTCTTTTGTCCTGCAGAAACTTTCCCCATCCTTCGTACTGAGAGTTACTTCCTAAGTAGGGTCTGGGAAGTTGGCTATGAGGATGGGAGACCTCCAAGGGCCTTCAGGGGATGCTGGAAGGGATTGAGTAGCTTTTCTGCCTGCTGGTGATGATAAAAGATCTGATTTCCCTCAGACAAGAAGCATGAACCCCGGTGTCCTCATGACAGCTCAGTTTGGCCGACCTTACTCTGTCCCATGCATCAGATCCAGGGCCCTGCATTTCCAGGGCTGGGAGGCTGAGCTGTGTAGTGCTGACTCTGTGCGTTGAGCACACCGGGTGTCAGGATTTTCTATGGGTCGCTGACCCACCTGCCCGTCTCTTTCCAGGGTACAATGCGCTGCATTTGGCAGCCAAACACGGCCACCCACAGTGTGTGAGCAAGCTGCTGCAGGTGAGGGTGCCGGGTGGGAGGCTGGGGAAATGCTGAAGACTGGAGAAAGCGGGCGGGAGCACAGAGGACAGCTGTGGGGAACCTTGACCCATGCAGCCCCTGTGGCACTCCCTCTGGACAGGCAGGGAAGCGGGCCAGGCAGGACTGGAGCTTGCTGCCCATGTGGTGGCTACAGTAGGCAGACTGGGATCGACCAAGGGAAAGGTCTTGTGAAGAAGGACCTGGGAGCTGCTGCCTTCTGCTGCGGACGTGCCAGTGTGGGGCCCCTGGGACTAGCGTGCAGCTGCCGGGCTCTTCCCGCTCGCTCGGCTGCATTCCCAGCCCCCGTCATGCACCACAGCCAGAAATGCTGGGGTGGGGGAGGAACGCAGCTGCACTGCCGAGGTTACAGTCCTCAACTGAAATGTTAAAGGATTAAAACAAATCTGCTCTTTCCCCTGGGAAAACCTGCCTTCCCTAAGCCTGTCTGTCAGGAACTCTCTGAGCATTTGGCTTCACGTAGCCAACAACACCCCCGCCCCCAGCCTTTCTCCTTGTGGGACCCCAACTCCAGGGTATCTCCAGGCCGGGAGGGGTTGCTGTCACTCCCCACCACCACTGATGGGAAGACAGCCCCCATCCAGCCACTGCTAATAGCCATCTTCTCTCCCTCAGGCACCCTGCCCGGTGGATGTGGCTGACGGCTGCGGGCGGACAGCGCTTCATCATGCAGGTCGGCATGGAGGGAGCCTGGACCTGCTGCCTCGTGGCATCTCCTCCCACCCTGTTTTGTCCCATTTTAAAAGTTGGTGTTGCCTAAGGCTGGAAAGCTGCCTGCTGTTAACCAGAGAGGAAGGCAGGAGCTGGGTGGAGGGGGCTAGGGGCCAGGAAGGGGCCTGGGTGCTGTGGGAACTGGGCTGGGCATGCGGGTTTTGGCTGAAGGACACGTCCTCCCCAACGAGACACCCGGGGCCTCACCATCCAGGCCCTGGCACAGGCCATGAGTAGGCTTATGCATTGGGGCATAGCCAGCAGACCTCTTAGGCTCCTTCTTATCCTCTCTAGCTGTCAGCGGCTGCATCTCCTGCTCTGAGATCCTCTGCGATTTCAAGGCCTCCTTGAATATCAAGGACAAGGTGAGGCAGCTCTTCCCAGAACAGTACATGGTGTATTAGCCTTGCTCACAGGGCTGGATTGCTGCATAGAGCTGGCTTTAGTTTTACCTAAGCCCATTTGAATCTCACGGGTGAAACACACAGGGGGTGGCAGAGAATCAGGCTTGCATCACCCACCATCAAAATACAGCTGTTTCTGGGGTGGAACACGGCAGCTAATAACAGCAGCAGGTACCTTGGTCTCTGAGGTGGACTGGGCCATGCCCAGTGATACAGGAAATGAAGTGAAGTGAATAGGGCTCCTGGGCCTAACTGAGTGGATCAGATTGGGCAAGGTAGTTGGCCTGGCAGGTGTCATCAGCAGTTGGGGTGCTTGATGAACATGAGCCACCTGGGATTCACATCACACATTCTTTGGCTTGTTTCTTGGTACATGGCATTGACCTTGCAAACACCTGTGCCACCCAGCCCTAGCAGGAGGCCTGGGCCATGCTGGGAGGCAGGTAGCACACGGCCCATTCAGACCAGAGTCCAGCTGAGCCCTGCTGAGGACATACCTACCTTTC